CAGGTCCATTACAGGGTTCCTGCTGTTACATCTGCAGTCCTATTTGCTTCATGCCCGGCTCATTCTCAAAACCTCTATCGCTGATTTTTTCCCCTTCTTTTGATCTCTAATGTTTCTAAACATTTGCTGAAGTTCGTTAACCTGAAAAATCTCCAAGTGGCCCAGAAGCAGTGATGTGCTCTGCTAAGATACAGCAGCGCTCTGCAGGCTGGAGCCACGTGGGAGGCCCAAGTTTGATTCCTGGTCCAACTTAAGGCCGGGCACTGTGGTGTGTGCCTGTAATCCCAGTGGGGAGGCTGAAGCAGGAGAATCCAGGCATGATGTGGTGAGACCATTTCTTTTTTTCTTCTTTTTTTAAAAAAAAATTATTTATTTAATTTTATGTATTATTTTTATTTTGTTTGCTATAGTGCACATGTATTCACCAGAGAGAGGCAGACAGAGAGAGAAAGAAAAAGAGAAGGAAAGAGAGAAAGCAAGCGGTCAGTCCTAGGACTTGAACTGTAGTTGGTCATGTGGAAGTCTAAGGCCCCAACCACCATACCACCTGCTGGCCCCGATGAGACACTTTCTTTTCTTTTCTTTTCTTTTTTTTTTGTTTTTGAGGTTTTGGCTATAGGGTGCATGTGCTCTCCAGAAAGACAGAGAGAGATAGAAAGTGAGAAATCACCTTCCAGCGGGGATGGCCACACCACAGTCCCTTCTCTTCCACTCTCCTTTTGGGATCTTGGGCACGCACACACATGCACCCAGCATGAGTTTAAGCCACCGGGTCTGGGACTCGAACTACCGTCGACTACGTAAGAGTCCAGCAACATAGCCATTATGCCAACTGCTGATTTCAGACATTTTCTTTTAAAAAAAAAAAAAGAAGGGGCCTGTGTCTGCTGTGTTGCAGGTACCTGGGTTCGTGGCCCTGTGTTGGAAGAGGTGGGTCTGAACTTCAGCCTACACCAGTCTCTCCTCAGCATGGGTTTCTTCTGTCCCATTGGATTCATCACTTTGAACTCTTACTCTAGGCCACGCGGGAGGAGGTTTAATGTTGATTCCTTGGCAGGCGTTCAAGCCTTCTGTGATCTCGCTCACCCATCCATCCTTCCCAGTCATGTCCCACGGCTTCCTCGCGTGCGTACTGCACATGCCAGCCCAACTGGAACATACCCCATCCCTCTCTGCCTCTTCCTCTGTCATCGCATGGCTTGCCTGCCAAGATGCCTTCCCATTTTCTTTCCC